GCACAACGCTTCTATAATCCATTTGACACGTATATCTAATTATGTTGGAGCTAGAGGCTCTGTCCTTTCCTAAAAGTGTGGTGGAGAGATGAATCAATGCTATTAAAGGTAATTATTCTTGTCCAAAGAACTCCAATATGACATATTTGACTAGGGCTGGACATGATTCAATTCGATTTGATTTAATTCCAATGAGGGCCGAACCGAACCCAAAATTTTCGAGTATTTAGTAAGTGGAACCGTGAGGTCCAAATTTAATTATGAAATTGTTCGGGTTCGATTCTGTTCTCAGGTTCCGTATTATAATTAAAATTTTAAATATTTACAATGTGTCATTAATTCAACTAATGATATGTTCAATCTTAACTCTTATAAAATAACGTAGTCCAATCTTATATATCTTTTACGTCTCTTTTTGCTGAGTTCTTCATAAATTTGATTGTTAAAATCACAAGCAAATGTTGATAGCGAGCTTAAAATAATTAAGAGATGCATTGTCAAACTTCAATTTGATTTCTTCAGAATGGTAGAACCGACACTATAGTAAAGTAACAATTTGGATAAAACATAGATCAATTTAATTAAATTGGCTTTAAACAAAAAATTAGAAATAGGAGGATAATATTTTTTGGTTTGAACTAAATTAACTAGTTAGCAATTTTATTTTAAAAAAATAAAATAATTTTGTTTATTTAAAATAAATTAATTAAAAAATAGGGAAATTCGATTTTTGTTCGATTTTTTAGTTCTTGATCTAAAATCGAGAATTGAACCAAACCCGTCGATTTTCGATTCAGATATCCATTCCGGTATTTAACTTAAGAAAACCTGCTCAGTTTGGTGGGTTGGGTTTGGGACTTTTGTCCAACCGTATATTTGACACAAGATTAACATCTATCCATCAACATATCTATCTGGAGGTGGGAAAAATATCTCCATCTACCACCCATGTATCTCGACCAAGGGCAAGTCAATTATTCTACCCTTTTTCTAATGGCTTGCCTTCGGTTCCCCTACTCAACTCAAATGCATGCACATGTAAGGAGGTAGAAGAAAACCTTCGAGATGGATTTAGGAGTCTTTGTACTAATTGTACGTGGTGACGAGGGAATTTGGTTTCTATACGTGGAGTGTGGTGCTAGGAGACAACAAAAAACAAAGAAACAAGATTTAGGTCCTATTTGATTCTCATTATTTCAAAACTCATTTTTTTTCAGGTTCATTTTCAATCATACTCTTAACATAAAATATTTGACACAAACCAATAGTTTTTTATACTTTCTAACTACACATCCTCCAATAATTCACCATCGCAAAACTCATTTTAATGAAATAATGGACATAAATAAGAGGCTTAATAACATAAGGAGGAATTTTAGCCCCTGTTTGACAACTATTATTTGAGAAAAATAATATTTTGAAAAGTAATTTTTAGGAAAATGTGTAATTAAGATGATGGAAATTTTTTAGATTTAAGTATAGAATATTTTATTATACGAATATATTGTTAAAAATAAGTATGTAAAAAAAAAAAAGTTTTAAAATAATGATTTTCAAACATAGGCTTAAATTTGAAAGTAAGAAAATTGTAACTTGTAAGAAAAGATAAAAGCTATTTAAAAGTAAATTTGAGCAACTTTTTACCCAAACAAACATGGTGTAGATCTGCCCCCGGGGCACAGTTCAACTAGTGGATCAATCAACATTGTCTTGCTTCCACGGCAGGGTGGAGAGTTCGATTCCTGATGGAAACCTGCGGCCAAAAAAATTGGTATGGAACAATCACTGTGGATGATGGTCTCTTGTGCGCAGAAGTGTACAGACAATGGGGGGAACCTGTGATCCAGTTGAGGCATAACCTGCGATTTACCCTTTCCAAGGTTCTAGGGGTATGGATTTTGGGGGTCCAAGATTTAGTCTAGTGTAAGCTGGAATGCCTGGATATCAAAAAAAAAAAAAAAAAAAAAAAAAAAAAAAAAAAAAAGGGGAAACAAAAAAACGTCGAAGTGTTATTTGCCTATTTCATGGAAATGCTACTGCATTTTGCTTATTATTTATGCTAAATGAAACAAAGTATTTTGCTTAGTATTTCATGGAAATGCTACTGCATTTTGCTTATTATTTATGCTAAATGAAACAAAGTATTTTGCTTAGTATTTCATGGAAATGCTACTGCATTTTGCTTATTATTTATGCTAAATGAAACAAAGTATTTTGCTTAGTATTTCATGGAAATGCTACTGCATTTTGCATTAGTTATCATTTTTTTGGCTTTGATATGCAGTAGTTCATAATTAAACAATGTATTACGCGCAGAAGAATCAAAACCAAATACTAACGAAGCGAGATAAAATGAAGCTACTTCTAAGAATAATTATATGGGTGTTAAATTGCCTTTTTAATCCATGAAGTAGATGTTATTGTTTTGCAAAGTGCAAACTTGATTCTTGAATCTATCATCAGATTATCAGTCAGTTATCAATAAGATTAATGATTGGAAGAAATTTGCTATTTTTTGTATGCATAATTCTGAGTGTAAAAGAGCCTAGATTCCCTGTACAAAGTGATCCGCTTCCTTAAAAGGCCCAGCTTAGTGAGTCCCCGTACAACTTTGCACAGTCACGGGTTATTTTGCCAAATTCTATTAAGGCCTGCTTGCTTCCCACACCCCCCCCACACTGATTTTTTGAATGGCACTATTTATGAGAGGTTGGGAATACAAGTGCTTGTTAATTTTTTTGGGTACTGGTTTTGGGTGATTTAAAAATCATCCAAATTAGTATAGTGTAATTTTGATTGTATTTCTCAACCCATCGAATTAGTGTTTTTTGGCCTTTTTCAACATTTCTTCCATTTTACACTCTGTAAAACAATCATTTTCAAATCTACCCTGAAAAGTAATGAAGTTTGGTCAAAAAGAAAAGAAATTCTTTTCATAAATCATTCTCTCCAAACGTTTCAGAAAGAGCTTAGATGTACCTACTCATGGAAATTAGCTTTACAATTATATTTGAGTTTGTTTATCTTATAATTCAATAGAAAATTATTGGCATGCAAGAGCTTATTTAAAGCAACAATAATTAGTTCAAAGGTTAGTCCATGCAAGATAAGAAAAAAAATGGTTGGATAAAGTACATAAAGCTATATTGAATTGTAAGGAGTGAAATACACATTTACTACATATTGCTTACACATACCTCTCTTTTTTTCATGTGTAGGCATATATGTAATTTATTGTTTTAAAAAACATTCAGAACTGAACTGTTGGATAATAAACTCCAAGCATGGGTTGGATTGTTTTAAAACCGATTTTCAAAACCACAAAAATCAGACCCCTTATAAACGCCCAAAATCGGTACCTTCAAAAATTACACATTTATTAATGCCATGTTTGGGAGTTTTAAGATACCGGTTATGGTGCTTTTTTTAATTACCTCCAATTTTGGGTGATTCTTAATAGTGACCTTTTTAAACACTCCAACCTATGCTTGAGAGTTCATTACATAGCAGTTAAAAGAATAAAATTACATGTATGTTCCTTAGTAAAATTTCCAATTTATAATTTCTTATGAAATTTTTTTACTCATTAGTGAATGTTCCTTATAAGTATTTTTTACATATAAGTTAATTTTTTTTTACTTTTATGTTAATTTAACTTAAAAAGTGAAATATATTCTTATAATGAAAATTTAAGTTATAAATAATTTTTACTTAAGTAAAATTTATAGTTATAAGTTAATTTTGTACTTCTAAATAATTTTTACGCGCAAGTGATTTTTGATTTTTAAGTATCTTTTTATATTTTATAAGTGAAAATTTGTATTATTAGTATGATTTTATGTTGTAAGCAATTTAAAAAAAAAAAAATTGAAATTATTTATGAGTAATTTTTAATTATTATATTTTAGTTTACAATTTAGTTTTCAACAAAATGTGTGGGTTGAAAATAATTATTTTATAGAGAGTAAAATTAAAAGAGAATTTGAGAAACAACCAAAACACACCGATTTGGTGGGTTGAAATATACACGACCAAAATTACATTACACCAATTTTGGATGGTTTTAAACCCTCAAAACAGTGCCCAAAAAATTAATAAACACCAATTTTCTCAACCTCTCATGAACGGTGCCACCCAAAAAGGGTCAAAACGGGTTAAATAAGCTCCCAAGCAGACCCTAAGAGTTTTGTCTCATACCCTTGGAATTCTCTTTGTAATATCTACTTACCTGTGTGGTGTGGAATTTGTGACTCGCCCAAGGCAAGATCTTAGTCTCTCGTGATAACCACCATGTAATCATTTCTCATAGAAGCTTGGTGTACAAAGGTATCTTTCTCTACTCTGAAGATCGAGTATATATAGTGAGCAAGGGCTTCTGGCCTTCTATCTTGTGCTTATTCAAATTAGTTTCAAATATTAATTTTATAACGGTGGATAAGTAATTGTAGGGAAAATGGAAAAGTAAGAAAACTTTGTGTTATCAATGAAAATGCTGATGGAAGTATTTGCTTAAAATGAAGGTCAGACTTCATTGTTTGGGGAAAAAAACAAGGCAAAAAGAACCAAAATGTGCGAACTGCTAGGATAGAAAATTTAAATTTTGTGAAGTCAGTTGCTATTATGCTGAATGATATAGCTTAAGATCGTGGATATCTGTCTAATGAGGGCTTAAAAATTTAAACAGCACAATCAGCATTTGACATATCAACATCAATTGTTAATCCTTCCGTTAACTGGCTTCTGTATTTGGAATTTAGTGCAAGCCTCTTTCCCTTAATCTGCCGTCAGGTCAAAAATGCCACTTAGCTATCTAGCATAAATCTATTCATTTTAGAACCAAGAACTATGTTATTATGGTGATTGTCAATTGATACTATTGCTAGTCTCTGAATATTTGAGACCTAATTCTATATATTAATCTTCAACCTAGCGAACATAGGATAACTTATTGTTTGTGTAAATCTCTTATATTTAGTTTCTGGATTGTCAGGTTATGTTAAAACTTGAAGCATTCTTTGGCAGATCCTGTTGCAATGTGGCATGTCAAAGATCAGATAGCCCCGTCGGTTCTGCTTGTAGTGGATTTTGGTGGATGGTACAGGCTTGACTCTAAAGCATCCAATGATAGCTCAACAGAGATGATACATCACACCCAAGTTTCACTGCTAAAAGATGTTATTGTGCCATATACGCATTTGCTTCCTAGGTTGCACGTATCAGAAAACAAGAAACGCCACACCCTGCTTTATTTCAAAGGAGCTAAACATAGGCATCGGGTTAGCATTCTCCTTCCAGCAAGTTTAGCTAAATGCAATAATTTGTTTCAAGATGTGCTGACTACTAATATTCTCTATTATGAACTACTTGGAGCTGATTATTAATATTATTCTCCTTTTCAGCCTGGCTAACTTAGGCACTTTATCTAACTACTGATGAATTAATGAGAATGTCATGGCTCAGTTTTATTATCATAGAACATTCGTTAGGAAATCTTTTGAGGAAGTGGTAGTTGTATTCATCGTTTCACAAGGATAAATCGGATATCAAGGCCATTTTGCCTTCATGATGTAGACCAGTAAAATGATTAAAAAAAGAATAAGATACGAAATCATACTTGTCATAAACCATAATCCATATAGAAGAATCATAAGAAAGCATTTCAACAAAATTAAAAGGGTCCACTTTATGCTACCTCTATTCATTTATAAGAATTTGGATGTAGCTTGCTCAGGGTATAGGTGGAAGAAACAAATTAGGGAATTTATTATTATTATTTTTTAGAGGTGCCTTCTAACCTATTTCCCATCCTGACCTTCAAAGTTGTTTCATTAGATATTAAACCGATTATGCATTTTCTCCTTGAGGTAGCATCAACCATCCTTTTTTGCTAGTGTTCATAATATGCTACCACTACTCATTAAAAGGTGATTTATTTGTATTTGCTTTTCTTGTTGAGTTTGGCACAGTGAGTGGGCCAATTGAACTGAATAGACTCCAAAACTTATTTTTCAATCCATAAGTTATCTCGAGTAAATCATTGGAGTGAATTTTTTTATTTTTATTTTTATTTTTTGAACTCTTGTTATTGGATGAACATATATTTTGTTTTTTTGTATTTCCTGGTTATTCTAGCAAATTATAAAATGCTGTCAATTCCTTTTCTACTGGTCAATGTTCTCTTGTTTGTTTTACTTTATTAATATCTGTTTTTTTGAGGTTCCCATCAATGATATTACAATATTTGTTTCATTATATATATAGGGTGGACTTGTTCGAGAAAAATTATGGGATTTATTGATCAACAAACCTGGAGTTATAATGGAAGAAGGCTTCCCCAATGCTACTGGAAAGGAGCAATCGATAAAGGGAATGAGGACATCGGAGTTCTGTTTGCACCCTGCAGGGGACACACCCACATCGTGTAGACTTTTTGATGCCATCCAAAGTCTTTGTATACCGGTCATTGTTAGTGACGACATAGAACTTCCGTTTGAAGGAATGGTGGATTATTCAGAATTTTCTGTCTTCGTGGCAGTTAGTGATGCATTGAGGCCAAATTGGCTTTTGAGTCATCTTAGAAGCTATTCTGAAGAGCAGAAGGATGGATTCCGGAAAAATATGGCTCAGGTTCAACCCATCTTTGTGTATGATAATGGTTACACAGGTGGCATTGGCCCAATACCTCCAGATGGTGCCGTGAATCATATTTGGAGAAAGATACACCAAAAATTGCCCGTGATCAAGGAAGCTATTATCCGCGAGAGGAGAAAACCTCCAGGTGCTTCGGTTCCCCTTCGTTGTCATTGTACTTGAATCTGTTTAGGAGATCATTCCTATATATATGTGTTATCTTCCCTCAAGATGAGTCCTTTCAACGTAGAAAAGCTTTGATTACACGACTGCAAAATGATTGCATATAGTACTAGAGGTGCTTGATTTGGTTGGAAGAAAGCTTATCGTGTATGCCCATTAACGGATTACACAATTGCAAAATCATTGCATTGGATACTAAAAATGCTTGTTTTAGTAGCAAATGTCTTTGGGGTGGCACTAGATTCCTACGTATTTCTTCCATTTTTGGTTGCCAAATAAATCCCAATCCAGAATTCAAATGTAGTCGATGCTAGCGGTGGGCGGGGGTTGGTTCGGTTCTCTTTAGAATCGAACCGAACCAAAATTTTTGGGTATCTAGTAAATGGAACCGTCTGGTCTCAATATAATTATAGAATCGTTCGGGTTCGGTTCGGTTCGGTTCTGTAATATAATTAAATTTTTCAACATTTATAACAACATTATATAAATACAACTAATGATACATTCAATAGTTTTAAAATATTAAAGACTAGTAGACTATTTTGTTCAAATGATCATTAGGGTCAAAGTTTTGATCGGCGGAGGTCGCAGTATCGGTCGACAATTGTATAAGGTTTGAAATATCAGTGAGACTGCGAGAGTCGAGACAACGTTATGCACTTTAGTGTAGGTATTTAGAGTTATTTAGTGGATTGAATCTTGTTGGACTAAAAAATGAAACAATAAGATGGATAATGGGGCCAAAAATTAAAAAACTAGAAATGAAACAAATTATTGAGCCAAAAATTTGGATTTAGAAATTGTTAATTTGTTTAGAAAAAATTAAAATTAAAATAATTTGATTTACTCAATATAAAAAAAAAAAATTAGAAAGATTCGGTTCTTATTCGATTTTTGGTCTAGAATCGAGAATCGAACTGTACCCGTCGATTTTCAATTCAGATATCCATTCGGGTATTTAATTTGACAAGAACCGTCGGGTTCGGTTCAGGTCGATTCGGTTCGGGAGATTTGCCCAACCCTAATTGATGCAATCCACCTATCTTCAAAATTGACCTCAATGGTGGGCTATTTTCTGAGATCCGTGACTACCAAACGAGTGTTATCTAGAAGTAGCCCTCATCAGATGACATGTCGAGAGCCTTCCAAGAAAGGGTGCTACTTTGATAGCATTGTTACCAGTCTTAAATGGCTTATGAAAGAAGATTGTCCAACGAGCTATTAAACCTACAAGGATGCAGAAATGGGAATCCAATACCAGCAGTTTGTTCGACTTCTTTATTGGTTTTCATCGTTTAACGCTTGTTGTAGATGGAAGATTTTTATAGGACTGGACAAAATTTCCGAGTAGAGTCGAACCCAAACCGAGCGGTTCTTCTTAAATTAAATACCCGAACGGATATATGAATCAAGAACCAACGGATTTGAATCGCTTTCTAGATCAAAAACTACATCTTCCTAATTTTTTTAATTAATTTATTTTTTCTAAATAAATTTGTTAATTAATTAATTTAGTTCAAACCAAAAAATATGATTTTCCTATTTCTGATTTTTAGTTCAAAGCCAACTTAATCAAATCAACCTAAAATTTATCCAAATCTGTTACTCTACAGTCGTTTCTATCGTTCTGGAGAAATCGAATTGAATCTCGACACCACCTTTTTTAGTTATTTTGAGCTTGTTATTTTCCTCTTCCTGTGATTTTAACAATCAATTCTATGAAAGACTTAGCAAAGAAAGATGCAAAAAACACATAAAATTAGACTACGTTATTTGGTAAGAGCTAAGATTGAAAATATCATTAGTTGAATTAATATAACTTTGTAAATATTAAAAAAATTTAATTATAATACGGAACCTAAGAACCAAACCGAATCGAATAGAATTGAATCCGAACGGTTCCATAATTAAATTTGGACCCGACGGTTCCATTTACTAAATACTCGAAAATTTCAGGTCCGGTTTGATTCTAGTTAGAACCGAACATAATCAGACAATGTCCAACCTTAGATTTTTCACTTAGTACACTACCCTCGTCGTCAATCTTTTCAGTTTACGAGTCTTTGTCCCCAAATCATTCAACTATGAATAGTTTTCAATTATGCTATTTGTACAATCATACTTGAAAATGGTGTTGGTGTCAAAATTGTAGCCATTGATTTAAAAAATAGTTTTTGAGATAGATGAATGTGATGTTGTCAATCAAAATTGTCAAACTAGATTGTACATGTAGCAAATTCAATAGTTGAACTTGATCGTCCAACAAGTTTCATTTGACTCAACGGATGATGAATATTCAGTATAGGCACTAATTCTTTAACATAAAGATCCTAATGTGGGAAATATATTAATCTCAGAAAAATGACTTGCCCTTTAAAGCTGGTTTCTCATCCTTGTTTAGCAAGGAATGCACTGTACATGACAATATTACCTTAAAAAATACTTGACAGGCCATAATCAACATGAAACCCGTGCCATGTCTATTTCTTTCTGTATATATCGTCAAAAATAAGCCATTCTTGATCCGTAATACTCTCAGCCCACATGGTTAATCAAGCTGCAAAAAAAGCCAGACCTTTGAAAAACACGTCCCCCTCAACCTACCTCCATTTACACTAAGTTCTCTTCAAATGATTTTCTCAATTTTTGGTTTGACGCCATCGACGGTGGATCGAGCTGCGATGGGCATGCGAATGTATCAACCTTCAGGTATCATTTTGGTCATTCGTTCATAAAACTGATTCTCCATATCAGCATCTACAGGGGATTCTAACTTATCCTGTTTTATTGACCGGATCGACCAAGTCCCACCACATTTCTCGGTGAACCAGACAGGTCTAATCGGCCTGGCTAAGCTGGTTGAGGAATCCGAGACGATCTGGGAATAATCTGTAAAAGGCAAAGGTATATTTCCAAATCCCTAATACTTCGTTCCCATTCATAGCATATAAAAGAATAGAATTCTAGAGAATACCAATGACAATTTCTTTTTCTTTTTTTACAATTACTCAAGAAGATATACATACAAAACTTATATGCAATAAATATGAAATAACCTATAAAAGAAGATAGACGTAATGCCCCCATCAACTTTGCTGGAAAAAAACAGCAGAAAGTGAGCGGCCATACTGAACCAATATCTACACAACATACAGTAAAATTCATTAACACGAAAGTGGACTGATAACGTTCAGGCAGAAAAACCATTTCGTCCATGATTTGGAGAACTGGGACGAGATTTATCTGCATGTTTGGGTTGCTCTAGAGACTTTGCTAGAGGTCTAGAATCGTCATCATAATCCCCACGCTCTCGAGGCTTCAAATGCAAAGAACCGTTTTCCTCCTCGGTTGCGGTGCCACAAAGTTTGCAGGGGTTACTCAATCTATGGGAGCACCAATGGTCGGGCACGCACAAAAAATGGGTGTCCATGAACTTCCTAAATCTCTTTTTGTATTCTTTTGGAGAGATAACAGTTGGCTGCTGGTTCTTAGGAACAACCAGCGAAGACTTGACCCAATTCTCTAATTGTTTGTCCCATGTATATTGTCGGAGATAATCTATGATGCCACAGACCAGTTCCCGACGTTGAGTGTCTACTCCCACAAGTAGAGAATAATCCATCACGTTGATCGACTGAAAGCGAGCAAAAAAGGATAGTGAGAAGCCCAAGCCCTTAGTTATGAACAATATAGATTAAGATATTTAGTAAAAAATTGGGTGCAAAACTCACGTGGAGGAAAGTAGTGTCGTTCCACACAGCTCTTTGCAAGTTACGCTTCGATTTCATACTGATATATAGAGGTGAATCATTCATATCATTGACGAAATTCTGATCCAAGAGAACATCACCCGATCCATTGCCAGCAGAATTGAATCGAGCATGAAGAGCTCCTTTAAGATCATACTGTTTCGTTATGTTTCGACCAAATGACAGATTCTCCATCACCAGGAGATCATGTTTGGTCTCTTTTCCATTCTTAGTTGCTCTTACGATGACCTACGAAATTTAAATTTGTAAGATTAGGCCCAGGAATATTTCTGAGCGTGGTTGGCTAAGCTTCAAAATATAGAAGTAACTTCTCTCTTCTACCACCACTACACCACCGCCCCGCCTCCGTTGAAAATTTCCCAAACTACCCTCGCTGCCACCCAGAATTCCATCAAAGTCTACGTATTAGACCTGCCCAGATCCTTAAACTACGACCTTTTAAGAAAATACTGGGCCTTAAGCGATGATACGAGGGTCGGAAGTGAAGTGGATAATGAAATCCGAATGACCCTTTTGCACAGATATCCTGGTAAATTACTGCCATATCCTGAGAACCCTATAATAAAACAGTACAGTGCGGAGTACTGGATCTTGGGGGATTTGTTGACACCGGAGGAGGTAAAGAAAGAGTCTTTTGCTAAAAGGGTGTTTCATTATCGTGAGGCGGATGTGATTTTTGTGCCATTTTTCGCGACTTTGAGTGCTGAATTGCAGCTGGTGAGCAATAAGGGTGTGTTCAGGAAGAAGGTGGAAGAGAATGAGGATTATCAGAGGCAGCGAATGGTGGTCGATTTGGTGAAAAAGTCCGAGGCTTGGCAAAGATCGGGAGGGCGGGATCATGTCTTTGTTCTTACAGGTAATTGTCGAAGTGTTATTTGCCTATTTCATGGAAATGCTACTGCATTTTGCTTATTATTTATGCTAAATGAAACAAAGTATTTTGCTTAGTATTTCATGGAAATGCTACTGCATTTTGCTTATTATTTATGCTAAATGAAACAAAGTATTTTGCTTAGTATTTCATGGAAATGCTACTGCATTTTGCTTATTATTTATGCTAAATGAAACAAAGTATTTTGCTTAGTATTTCATGGAAATGCTACTGCATTTTGCATTAGTTATCATTTTTTTGGCTTTGATATGCAGTAGTTCATAATTAAACAATGTATTACGCGCAGAAGAATCAAAACCAAATACTAACGAAGCGAGATAAAATGAAGCTACTTCTAAGAATAATTATATGGGTGTTAAATTGCCTTTTTAATCCATGAAGTAGATGTTATTGTTTTGCAAAGTGCAAACTTGATTCTTGAATCTATCATCAGATTATCAGTCAGTTATCAATAAGATTAATGATTGGAAGAAATTTGCTATTTTTTGTATGCATAATTCTGAGTGTAAAAGAGCCTAGATTCCCTGTACAAAGTGATCCGCTTCCTTAAAAGGCCCAGCTTAGTGAGTCCCCGTACAACTTTGCACAGTCACGGGTTATTTTGCCAAATTCTATTAAGGCCTGCTTGCTTCCCACACCCCCCCCACACTGATTTTTTGAATGGCACTATTTATGAGAGGTTGGGAATACAAGTGCTTGTTAATTTTTTTGGGTACTGGTTTTGGGTGATTTAAAAATCATCCAAATTAGTATAGTGTAATTTTGATTGTATTTCTCAACCCATCGAATTAGTGTTTTTTGGCCTTTTTCAACATTTCTTCCATTTTACACTCTGTAAAACAATCATTTTCAAATCTACCCTGAAAAGTAATGAAGTTTGGTCAAAAAGAAAAGAAATTCTTTTCATAAATCATTCTCTCCAAACGTTTCAGAAAGAGCTTAGATGTACCTACTCATGGAAATTAGCTTTACAATTATATTTGAGTTTGTTTATCTTATAATTCAATAGAAAATTATTGGCATGCAAGAGCTTATTTAAAGCAACAATAATTAGTTCAAAGGTTAGTCCATGCAAGATAAGAAAAAAAATGGTTGGATAAAGTACATAAAGCTATATTGAATTGTAAGGAGTGAAATACACATTTACTACATATTGCTTACACATACCTCTCTTTTTTTCATGTGTAGGCATATATGTAATTTATTGTTTTAAAAAACATTCAGAACTGAACTGTTGGATAATAAACTCCAAGCATGGGTTGGATTGTTTTAAAACCGATTTTCAAAACCACAAAAATCAGACCCCTTATAAACGCCCAAAATCGGTACCTTAAAAAATTACACATTTATTAATGCCATGTTTGGGAGTTTTAAGATACCGGTTATGGTGCTTTTTTTAATTACCTCCAATTTTGGGTGATTCTTAATAGTGACCTTTTTAAACACTCCAACCTATGCTTGAGAGTTCATTACATAGCAGTTAAAAGAATAAAATTACATGTATGTTCCTTAGTAAAATTTCCAATTTATAATTTCTTATGAAATTTTTTTACTCATTAGTGAATGTTACTTATAAGTATTTTTTACATATAAGTTAATTTTTTTTACTTTTATGTTAATTTAACTTAAAAAGTGAAATATATTCTTATAATGAAAATTTAAGTTATAAATAATTTTTACTTAAGTAAAATTTATAGTTATAAGTTAATTTTGTACTTCTAAATAATTTTTACGCGCAAGTGATTTTTGATTTTTAAGTATCTTTTTATATTTTATAAGTGAAAATTTGTATTATTAGTATGATTTTATGTTGTAAGCAATTTAAAAAAAAAAAAATTGAAATTATTTATGAGTAATTTTTAATTATTATATTTTAGTTTACAATTTAGTTTTCAACAAAATGTGTGGGTTGAAAATAATTATTTTATAGAGAGTAAAATTAAAAGAGAATTTGAGAAACAACCAAAACACACCGATTTGGTGGGTTGAAATATACACGACCAAAATTACATTACACCAATTTTGGATGGTTTTAAACCCTCAAAACAGTGCCACCAAAATTACATTACACCAATTTTGGATGGTTTTAAACCCTCAAAACAGTGCCCAAAAAATTAATAAACACCAATTTTCTCAACCTCTCATGAATGGTGCCACCCAAAAAGGGTCAAAACGGGTTAAATAAGCTCCCAAGCAGACCCTAAGAGTTTTGTCTCATACCCTTGGAATTCTCTTTGTAATATCTACTTACCTGTGTGGTGTGGAATTTGTGACTCGCCCAAGGCAAGATCTTAGTCTCTCGTGATAACCACCATGTAATCATTTCTCATAGAAGCTTGGTGTACAAAGGTATCTTTCTCTACTCTGAAGATTGAGTATATATAGTGAGCAAGAGCTTCTGGCCTTCTATCATGTGCTTATTCAAATTAGTTTCAAATATTAATTTTATAACGGTGGATAAGTAATTGTAGGGAAAATGGAAAAGTAAGAAAACTTTGTGTTATCAATGAAAATGCTGATGGAAGTATTTGCTTAAAATGAAGGTCAGACTTCATTGTTTGGGGAAAAAAACAAGGCAAAAAGAACCAAAATGTGCAAACTGCTAGGATAGAAAATTTAAATTTTGTGAAGTCAGTTGCTATTATGCTGAATGATATAGCTTATGATCGTGGATATCTGTCTAATGAGGGCTTAAAAATTTAAACAGCACAATCAGCATTTGACATATCAACATCAATTGTTAATCCTTCCGTTAACTGGCTTCTGTATTTGGAATTTAGTGCAAGCCTCTTTCCCTTAATCTGCCGTCAGGTCAAAAATGCCACTTAGCTATCTAGCATAAATCTATTCATTTTAGAACCAAGAACTATGTTATTATGGTGATTGTCAATTGATACTATTGCTAGTCTCTGAATATTTGAGACCTAATTCTATATATTAATCTTCAACCTAGCGAACATAGGATAACTTATTGTTTGTGTAAATCTCTTATATTTAGTTTCTGGATTGTCAGGTTATGTTAAAACTTGAAGCATTCTTTGGCAGATCCTGTTGCAATGTGGCATGTCAAAGATCAGATAGCCCCGTCGGTTCTGCTTGTAGTGGATTTTGGTGGATGGTACAGGCTTGACTCTAAAGCATCCAATGATAGCTCAACAGAGATGATACGTCACACCCAAGTTTCACTGCTAAAAGATGTTATTGTGCCATATACGCATTTGCTTCCTAGGTTGCACATATCAGAAAACCAGAAACGCCACACCCTGCTTTATTTCAAAGGAGCTAAACATAGGCATCGGGTTAGCATTCTCCTTCCAGCAAGTTTAGCTAAATGCAATAATTTGTTTCAAGATGTGCTGACTACTAATATTCTCTATTATGAACTACTTGGAGCTGATTATTAATATTATTCTCCTTTTCAGCCTGGCTAACTTAGGCACTTTATCTAACTACTGATGAATTAATGAGAATGTCATGGCTCAGTTTTATTATCATAGAACATTCGTTAGGAAATCTTTTGAGGAAGTGGTAGTTGTATTCATCGTTTCACAAGGATAAATCGGATATCAAGGCCATTTTGCCTTCATGATGTAGACCAGTAAAATGATTAAAAAAAGAATAAGATACGAAATCATACTTGTCATAAACCATAATCCATATAGAAGAATCATAAGAAAGCATTTCAACAAAATTAAAAGGGTCCACTTTATGCTACCTCTATTCATTTATAAGAATTTGGATGTAGCTTGCTCAGGGTATAGGTGGAAGAAACAAATTAGGGAATTTATTATTATTATTTTTTAGAGGTGCCTTCTAACCTATTTCCCATCCTGACCTTCAAAGTTGTTTCATTAGATATTAAACCGATTATGCATTTTCTCCTTGAGGTAGCATCAACCATCCTTTTTTGCTAGTGTTCAGAATATGCTACCACTACTCATTAAAAGGTGATTTATTTGTATTTGCTTTTCTTGTTGAGTTTGGCACAGTGAGTGGGCCAATTGAACTGAATAGACTCCAAAACTTATTTTTCAATCCTTCAGTTATCTCGAGTAAATCATTGGAGTGAATTTTTTTATTTTTATTTTTTGAACTCTTGTTATTGGATGAACATATATTTTGTTTTTTTCTATTTCCTGGTTATTCTAGCAAATTATAAAATGCTGTCAATTGCTTTTCTACTGGTCAATGTTCTCTTGTTTGTTTTACTTTATTAATATCTGTTTTTTTGAGGTTCCCATCAATGATATTACAATATTTGTTTCATTATATATATAGGGTGGACTTGTTCGAGAAAAATTATGGGATTTATTGATCAACAAACCTGGAGTTATAATGGAAGAAGGCTTCCCCAATGCTACTGGAAGGGAGCAATCGATAAAGGGAATGAGGACATCGGAGTTCTGTTTGCACCCTGCAGGGGACACACCCACATCGTGTAGGCTTTTTGATGCCATCCAAAGTCTTTGTATACCAGTCATTGTTAGTGACGACATAGAACTTCCGTTTGAAGGAATGGTGGATTATTCAGAATTTTCTGTCTTCGTGGCAGTTAGTGATGCATTGAGGCCAAATTGGCTTTTGAGTCATCTTAGAAGCTATTCTGAAGAACAGAAGGATGGATTCCGGAAAAATATGGCTCAGGTTCAACCCATCTTTGTGTATGATAATGGTTACACAGGTGGCATTGGCCCAATTCCTCCAGATGGTGCCGTGAATCATATTTGGAGAAAGATACACCAAAAATTGCCCGTGATCAAGGGAACTATTATCCGCGAGAGGAGAAAACCTCCAGGTGCTTCGGTTCCCCTTCGTTGTCATTGTACTTGAATCTGTTTAGGAGATCATTCTTATATATATGTGTGTTATCCTCCCTCAAGATGAGTTCTTTCAACGTAGAAAAGCTTTGATTACACGACTGCAAAATGATTGCATATAGTACTAGAGGTGCTTGATTTGGTTGGAAGAAAGCTTATTGTGTATGCCCATTAACGGATTACACAATTGCAAAATCATTGCATTGGATACTAAAAATGCTTGTTTTAGTAGCAAATGTCTTTGGGGTGGCACCAGATTCCTACGTATTTCTTCCATTTTTGGTTGCCAAATAAATCCCAATCCAGAATTCAAATGTAGTCAATGCTGAAGGTGGGCGCGGGTCGGGTCGGTTCGGTTCGGTTCAGTTCTTTTTAGAATCGAACAAAGAACCGAACCGAACCAAAATTTTCGGATATCTAGTAAATGGAACCGTCGGGTCTAAATATAATTATGGAACGGTTTGGGTTCGGTTCGATTCTGTGCTATAATTAAATTTTTTAACATTTATAACAATATTATATAAATACAACTAATGATATATTCAGTAGTTTTAGAATGTCATAGATTAGTAGACTACCTTGTTCAAATGATCATTACGGTCAAAGTTTCGGTCGGCGGAGGTCGCAACTTCAATCGGAGGTCACTGTATCGACCGACGATTGTATAGGTTTTGAAATATCAGCAAGGCTGCGAGAGTGAGTGGGAGAGTCGAGACAACGTTATGCACTTTAGTGTAGGTGTTTAGAATTATTTAGTGGATTGAATTTTATTGGGTTAAGAAATGAAACAATAAGATGGATAATGGAGCCAAAAATTAAAAAAATTAGAAATGAAACAAATTATTGGGCCAAAAATTTAGATTTAGAAATTGTTAATTTGTTTAGAAAAAATTAAAATTAAAATTAAAATAATTTGATTTACTCAATATAAAAAAAATTAAAAAGATTCGGTTCTTATTCGGTTCTTCAGTTCTTGATCTAGAATCGAGAATTGAACCGTACCCGTCGGCTCTGAATTCAGATATCCGTTCAGGTATTTAATTTGACAAGAATCGTCGGGTTCGATTCAGCTTGATTCAGTCTATTCGGTTCGGAAGATTTGTCCAACCTAGTCGATGCAATCCACCTATCCTCAAAATTGACGTCAACGGTGGGCTATTTTCTGAGATCTGTGACTACCAAACGAGTGTTATCTAGAAGTAGCCCTCATCAGATGACATGTCGAGAGCCTTCCAAGAAAGGGTGCTACTTTGATATCATTGTTACCAGTCTTAAATGGTTTATGAAAAAAGAATGTCCAACGAGCTAATAAACCTACAAGGATGCAGAAATGGGAATCCAATACCAGCAGTTTGTTGGACTTCTTTATTGGTTTTCATCGTTTAACGCTTGTTGTAGATGGAAGATTTTTATAGGACTGGACAAAATTTCCGAGTAGAACCGAACCCAAATCGAGCGGTTCTTCTTAAGTTAAACATCCGAACGGATATATGAATCAAGAACCAACGGATTTGAATCGGTTTCTAGATCAAGAACTGCATCTTCCTAATTTTTTAAATTAATTTATTTTTTCTAAATAAATTTGTTAATTAGTTAATTTAGTTCAGACCAAAAAATATGATTTTTCTATTTCTGATTTTTAGTTCAAAGCCAACTTAATCAAATCAATCTAAAATTTATCCAAATCTGTTACTTTACCGTCGTTTCCATCGTTCTGGAGAAATCGAATTGAATCTCGACACCACCTTTTTTAGTTATTTTGAGCTTGTTACTTTCCTCTTCCTGTGATTTTAACAATCAATTCTATGAAAGACTCAGCAAAGAAAGATGCAAAAAACACATAAAATTAGACTACGTTATTTGGTAAGAGCTAAGATTGAAAATATCATTAGTTGAATTAATATAACTTTGTAAATATTAAAAAAATTTAATTATAATACGGAACCTGAGAATCGAACTGAATCGAATGGAATTGACTCCGAACGGTTCCATAATTAAATTTGGACTTGACGGTTCCACTTACTAAATACTCGAAAATTTCAGGTCCGGTTTGATTCTCGTTAGAACCGAACACAATCAGACCATGTCCAGCCTTAGATTTTTCACTTAGGACACTACCCTCGTCGTCAATCTTTTCAATTTACGAGTCTTTGTCCCCAAATCATTCAACTATGAATAGTTTTCAATTATGCTATTTGTACAATCATACTTGAAGATGGTGTTGGTGTCAAAATTGTAGCCATTGATTTTAAAAATAGTTTTTGAGATAGATGAATGTGATGTTGTCAATCAAAATTGTCAAACTAGATTGTACATGTAGCAAATTCAATAGTTGAACTTGATCGTCCAACAAGTTTCATTTGACTCAACGGATGATGAATATTCAGTATAGGCACTAATTCTTTAACATAAAGATCCTAATGTGGGAAATATATTAATCTCAGAAAAATGACTTGCCCTTTAAAGCTGGTTTCTCATCCTTGTTTAGCAAGGAATGCACTGTACATGACAATATTACCTTAAAAAATACTTGACAGGCCATAATCAACATGAAACCCGTGCCATGTCTATTTCTTTCTGTATATATCGTCAAAAATAAGCCATTCTTGATCCGTAATACTCTCAGCCCACATGGTTAATCAAGCTGCAAAAAAAGCCAGACCTTTGAAAAACACGTCCCCCTCAACCTAACTCCATTTACAATAAGTTCTCTTCAAATGATTTTCTCAATTTTTGGTTTGGTTGATATGACGCCATCGACGATGGATCGAGCTGCGATGGGCATGTGAATGTATCAACCTTCAGGTATCATTTTGGTCATTGGTTCATACAACTGATTCTCCATATCAGCATCTACAGGGGATTCTAACTCATCCTGTTTTATTGACCGGATCGACCAAGTCCCACCACATTTCTCGGTGAACCAGACAGGTCTAATCGGCCTGGCTAAGCTGGTTGAGGAATCCGAGACGATCTGGGAATAATCTGTAAAAGGCAAAGGTATATTTCCAAATCCCTAATACTTCGTTCCCATTCATAGCATATAAAAGAATAGAATTCTAGAGAATACCAATGACAATTTCTTTTTCTTTTTTTACAATTACTCAAGAAGATATACATACAAAACTTATATGCAATAAATATGAAATAACCTATAAAAGAAGATAGACGTAATGCCCCCATCAACTTTGCTGAAAAAAACCAGCAGAAAGTGAGCGGCCATACTGAACCAATATCTACACAACATACAGTAAAATTCATTAACACGAAAGTGGACTGATAACGTTCAGGCAGAAAAACCATTTCGTCCATGATTTGGAGAACTGGGACGAGATTTATCTGCATGTTTGGGTTGCTCTAGAGACTTTGCTAGAGGTCTAGAATCGTCATCATAATCCCCACGCTCTCGAGGCTTCAAATGCAAAGAACCGTTTTCCTCCTCGGTTGCGGTGCCACAAAGTTTGCAGGGGTTACTCAATCTATGGGAGCACCAATGGTCGGGCACGCACAAAAAATGGGTGTCCATGAACTTCCTAAATCTCTTTTTGTATTCTTTTGGAGAGATAACAGTTGGCTGCTGGTTCTTAGGAACAACCAGCGAAGACTTGACCCAATTCTCTAATTGTTTGTCCCATGTATATTGTCGGAGATAATCTATGATGCCACAGACCAGTTCCCGACGTTGAGTGTCTACTCCCACAAGTAGAGAATAATCCATCACGTTGATCGACTGAAAGCGAGCAAAAAAGGATAGTGAGAAGCCCAAGCCCTTAGTTATGAACAATATAGATTAAGATATTTAGTAAAAAATTGGGTGCAAAACTCACGTGGAGGAAAGTAGTGTCGTTCCACACAGCTCTTTGCAAGTTACGCTTCGATTTCATACTGATATATAGAGGTGAATCATTCATATCATTGACGAAATTCTGATCCAAGAGAACATCACCCGATCCATTGCCAGCAGAATTGAATCGAGCATGAAGAGCTCCTTTAAGATCATACTGTTTCGTTATGTTTCGACCAAATGACAGATTCTCCATCACCAGGAGATCATGTTTGGTCTCTTTTCCATTCTTAGTTGCTCTTACGATGACCTACGAAATTTAAATTTGTAAGATTAGGCCCAGGAATATTTCTGAGCGTGGTTGGCTAAGCTTCAAAATATAGAAGTAACTTCTCTCTTTCAAACATGTTTATAGATACTCCTTTTTCTTACTTTTCTGCCAAAATGTAACTTTCAAACTTTGGCTTTATAAGAGCTAGACAGCCATACAAACACGGGAAAAAGTAGATAGACTGACCTGGTAAATGCCGAGAACTTTAGCAAGGCAGGTCGGATTATGCAACTCATAACACTGATCCATGTACTTAAAGTAGTTGGGTGCAAACTTCATGAATGAATCGAATTCTGTCCTCTTAATCTCCTTTATTATTAATCGATCGTCGAGTGTCTTAGCAAAGAAAGATTTACTCTTCCCACCTTTGGCATCCCAATTCCTACAACGGCTTAAGGAAGCAATATAATCCACTTCAGAAGGACAACATCGGTCTCGCAACTGACGGAACTCACTTGCATACAAACATATAACAGAATATTTATGCTTTCCTTTTGACCCCATAGAGACTTGCGGTTGATCCGTAATACTCTCAGCCCACATGGTTAATCAAGCTGCAAAAAAAGCCAGACCTTTGAAAAACACGTCCCCCTCAACCTAACTCCATTTACAATAAGTTCTCTTCAAATGATTTTCTCAATTTTTGGTTTGGTTGATATGACGCCATCGACGATGGATCGAGCTGCGATGGGCATGTGAATGTATCAACCTTCAGGTATCATTTTGGTCATTGGTTCATACAACTGATTCTCCATATCAGCATCTACAGGGGATTCTAACTCATCCTGTTTTATTGACCGGATCGACCAAGTCCCACCACATTTCTCGGTGAACCAGACAGGTCTAATCGGCCTGGCTAAGCTGGTTGAGGAATCCGAGACGATCTGGGAATAATCTGTAAAAGGCAAAGGTATATTTCCAAATCCCTAATACTTCGTTCCCATTCATAGCATATAAAAGAATAGAATTCTAGAGAATACCAATGACAATTTCTTTTTCTTTTTTTACAATTACTCAAGAAGATATACATACAAAACTTATATGCAATAAATATGAAATAACCTATAAAAGAAGATAGACGTAATGCCCCCATCAACTTTGCTGGAAAAAAACAGCAGAAAGTGAGCGGCCATACTGAACCAATATCTACACAACATACAGTAAAATTCATTAACACGAAAGTGGACTGATAACGTTCAGGCAGAAAAACCATTTCGTCCATGATTTGGAGAACTGGGACGAGATTTATCTGCATGTTTGGGTTGCTCTAGAGACTTTGCTAGAGGTCTAGAATCGTCATCATAATCCCCACGCTCTCGAGGCTTCAAATGCAAAGAACCGTTTTCCTCCTCGGTTGCGGTGCCACAAAGTTTGCAGGGGTTACTCAATCTATGGGAGCACCAATGGTCGGGCACGCACAAAAAATGGGTGTCCATGAACTTCCTAAATCTCTTTTTGTATTCTTTTGGAGAGATAACAGTTGGCTGCTGGTTCTTAGGAACAACCAGCGAAGACTTGACCCAATTCTCTAATTGTTTGTCCCATGTATATTGTCGGAGATAATCTATGATGCCACAGACCAGTTCCCGACGTTGAGTGTCTACTCCCACAAGTAGAGAATAATCCATCACGTTGATCGACTGAAAGCGAGCAAAAAAGGATAGTGAGAAGCCCAAGCCCTTAGTTATGAACAATATAGATTAAGATATTTAGTAAAAAATTGGGTGCAAAACTCACGTGGAGGAAAGTAGTGTCGTTCCACACAGCTCTTTGCAAGTTACGCTTCGATTTCATACTGATATATAGAGGTGAATCATTCATATCATTGACGAAATTCTGATCCAAGAGAACATCTCCCGATCCATTGCCAGCAGAATTGAATCGAGCATGAAGAGCTCCTTTAAGATCATACTGTTTCGTTATGTTTCGACCAAATGACAGATTCTCCATCACCAGGAGATCATGTTTGGTCTCTTTTCCATTCTTAGTTGCTCTTACGATGACCTACGAAATTTAAATTTGTAAGATTAGGCCCAGGAATATTTCTGAGCGTGGTTGGCTAAGCTTCAAAATATAGAAGTAACTTCTCTCTTTCAAACATGTTTATAGATACTCCTTTTTCTTACTTTTCTGCCAAAATGTAACTTTCAAACTTTGGCTTTATAAGAGCTAGACAGCCATACAAACACGGGAAAAAGTAGATAGACTGACCTGGTAAATGCCGAGAACTTTAGCAAGGCAGGTCGGATTATGCAACTCATAACACTGATCCATGTACTTAAAGTAGTTGGGTGCAAACTTCATGAATGAATCGAATTCTGTCCTCTTAATCTCCTTTATTATTAATCGATCGTCGAGTGTCTTAGCAAAGAAAGATTTACTCTTCCCACCTTTGGCATCCCAATTCCTACAACGGCTTAAGGAAGCAATATAATCCACTTCAGAAGGACAACATCGGTCTCGCAACTGACGGAACTCACTTGCATACAAACATATAACAGAATATTTATGCTTTCCTTTTGACCCCATAGAGACTTGCGGGTGGTCAGCACCATAAGATTTCAAGGAATCCAACAAATCCGACCCATTAAAGCTCGATGAATGTGACTCCTCTGATGCATTGGTTGATGAAGAATTGCTTCCGTCTGAATCCAAAGAACTAAAAGATGGCCAGTTAGAGGTCGAAGAGAAAATACGAGACAGGCTCCGCGAGCTCTCAATCGACAGAATATTTATGCTTTCCTTTTGACCCCATAGAGACTTGCGGGTGGTCAGCACCATAAGATTTCAAGGAATCCAACAAATCCAACCCATTAAAGCTCGATGAATGTGACTCCTCTGATGCATTGGTTGATGAAGAATTGCTTCCGTCTGAATCCAAAGAACTAAAAGATGGCCAGTTAGAGGTCGAAGAGAAAATACGAGACAGGCTCCGCGAGCTCTCAATCAATTTAGCATCCATTCCTCGTTCTTTTCTGGCATCCTCTACTAGTTCCTCAGCTGCAGTCGGTGGATTCTTTAATAAGGTTAGAGCACAAGCTATTATGCTCGAGAACTCATCTTCATAGTCGGACACTATATATTCATCAGTGCCGAGGGGAATATGTAATCTTGAGCCCTCATCTGTGATCAGTTCATGAGCCACTAGTTCTGCAGCATAGTGACTTAAAGATTCAAATTTTTGGGAGTAACTCTGTTGGAGGTTGTTCATGTATTGGTGCTGAATTACTGAATAAGGAGTCCAGATCAAACCCTCGTCATTTTCAATATCAGCAGCTACCGGTATTCCCTTATCTATTTTCTCTTTCCCAGTGGAACCAGGCTTCTCAGGATGCACCTCAAAACTAGGTTTCACCAGGAAATGATGCACAGATGATTCATTGCCATTACTTCCATCTACCGTTGGCCCTGCAATATCATCGGTGGTAATAGATGTAGGAAATGATTCATCATGTTCTCTAGATACTTCAACTTGCCCATCAATTGGAATTTCTTTAATTGTAAAATCATTTGCTTCCATGGATGTAACAAGCTTAATTTCCAAACCAGCAATATTTTCCAGAGGACTGTCACAGTTTTCCACCTTAATATCAGCCCCAGTGACTTCTCCATCAGCTCCATCCTCCTTCAACTGAGGTTGCTCTTGCACTTGTAGCTTGATAGATTTACTCGCAAAAAGGCCGGACGAAAGTGAGTGTAGACGCTGATCCCAAACACATGATTCAAGCAGAAGCTCCAATCGTACCCTGTTCAAGCTTAGAAGTTTATATGCAGGCTCATCTCGAGATCCATTCTCAACAGCATTTTGAATGTCAACCTGATTTTACATTTGCATGACCAAACAAAATGAGAATAACCAATAGCTGCTATCATTAATTCAAAATGGTACAAAAACAATTGATGAACTTTGTCATTATTTATTTCAGGATGTAGATACATGCTCGACAATAATTATATCTTAAAATATTAATCATCAGCATGTTTAATCCTGTTGATGGAAGTAAACGTCCAGTCACTATGCAGTTGCATGCATTAAAGAAGAAGAAAAATCAAAATAACAACAGTAATGAGCTTGCTACAATAATAAATTAGAAAAAGAAAATTTTAATTAGGAAGAATCCTCTAACCTCAAATTGAGATTTTTCTTGCTTTAACATCTCCTCAATATCAGAAAACTTCTTACTTTTTCCCTGAATGTTGAGAGTTAGACCAACATATTGAGTTTTCAAACTCTTCAAAGATTCTTCTATCTCCAAGAACATTTTATTCCCTTTTGCTAACACCTTAGAGAGGCAAGGGAAAATAAAATTTTCAGTCAAAATTGATGCTCATATAATCAGCCGGATAGTAATAAAACAGCAATCGTTTTTACGAAGGTACTACCTTCTTAAAATCTTCTTTTAGAAACTCTCCTCTCAATGAAGAGTTAAAGTCCAGCATCTTATGTGGCAGAGACACCGAATAAGTAGCAACTGGTGAGTATTTGAACACAGCAACCATTGGGCCAGATCTACATGTGGACAAACAGATGGCAAGAATATAGTAAAACATTTATTTTCCAATTAATACACCAAAATCAGGGACAACAAACTAACAGAAACATGGCATAGCAAATGCAGTGTTCCAACAAAGAAAAGAAAAACGATACCACACATCATTTCCAATAAAACTAGAAGTTAGGAATTGACCATATACCCAAAGAAGTAGAGGAAATCCCTGTGAAAAGAATGACCACAGCTGGATGGACAATTGAATGATGAGTGGTTCGAAAAATTGAGCTCTAAAAACTTTCCAAATGATAAACCACGGGCATCAGTGGATATCAAAACCCTTTTTGTAGATTTTGAGCTTCCATTCTGAAATTTACATTGACCACAGCGACTCCACATCCAAAGCTTTCCTTCAGTTTCACCAGGCAGACCTTTATCATCAGGAAGACGTCTAACTTGAATGGTTAGTTGCTTATTATGATGTGCATAGTAGAAAAAATGACCAACCGGGGGTTTACCACAAGTCTTGCACAGGAATCCCTGTGAAAGAAAAATAAAATTGCAACAAGATCCATAAATAAGAGGGCTACTTCAGTTCACTTAAAGTTTTGAATTCTGTCAAACAAAAAACCAAAAAACTTTCAAGTACCCCTGACCAGATGAGTATTATTCTTGGCTGAAGAAATTAAGATTGAAATCCCATATAGTACATCACAACTACTAGAGTTTTACTACAATTATGTTTCCTAGAAGTTTATCTTTTAATTATGTTTATCTATTTAGTTGTAATAGGACTTATATATTTTATTTGATTAGGACTTTTATATTTTAGTTGATTAGGATTTTAGTTTCCTTATTTCAATTTCTAAATACTATTAGGAGTAGGGGATAATTTGCCTATAAATATAGGAGGTATTGTACACTTTTCATCAACAATCAATTATTATTCAATATACATGTGACATGATTGTTCAAATATCGTTTTTATTTATTACGTAATTCTTATTACAAGAATTTCATAACACTTCTGCGCCAAAATTTATATGGACTTGCCTTAATTTGATGGCTAACGACGGTTCGAGTAGCAAGCAAACCACCAACAACGAACCGAGGTTTGAAGAAATTGAACGACGACTAGATGGGATAGAAGAAGCTATTCGCAGTATCATGCAAATACTAATTGCGATGACTATTGAGAATCACCGTAAATCTAGTGCAGAATAATTGGGTAGGCGTGAGACTCTCTGCAAAATCAGACACATGTTGACTGTGCTGACTGTTGAGAAGAATCGCGAGCCCATGAAGGAACAACCTGACAGACAAGATGATTGGCTAAAATAAGACAACCTAGATTCTGACAATGACAAAGGAGACATTGATTCAACGAGAGGAACCCCTAGGGTTGCAACGAACATCAACACGCACACTAAAATAGGTCCGGAGAGACTTGCAGTTCTATTCCTAAGAGTTCATCTATTAATTATGTTTATCTATTTAGTTGTAATAGGACTTTTATATTTTATTTGATTAAGACTTTTATATTTTATTTGATTAAGACTTTTATATTTTAGTTGATTAGGATTATAGTTTTCTTATTTCGATTTCCTAATACTACTAGGTGTAGGGGATAATTTACCCATAAATATAGGAGGTATTATACACTCTTCATCAACAATCAATTATTATTCAATATATACGCGACAAGATTGTTCAAATATCGTTTTTATTTATTACATAAATTCCTACAACAAGAATTTCATAACGCTTCCGCAGAACACAGTTTCACTAAAACATCCACAACAAGAAAATTCAGAGACCCATTTCTTGGTAGCAATATTCTAAGGACACAAAGGAAGAGAACTAACAACTTTTGAGTATATTTCTATATTAGATAGGGATATAAAACACTTCTCAACCTGCAAGGGTATAATGAAACAAAATAAAATTCTTCAAGAAATTTTGTTCAGTGCTAAATTTTATTTTAGCCAGCTACATAATCGAGCTTTTAAATACTAATTAGGACTGATACAATGTATACGATTCAAGTTGAAATGGTAGCGATAGCTTCGTATTATCCACAACTCAAGAGCATAAATTCAGATTTTCATAGTATTCTACCCCTTTCGAGCAATTTTGATTTCAAAGAAATTACCTAGCAACTTAGAAACTGATAATCAGCAAATAAAATATTGTGAATGTACAGGGTAAAATGTGTGATATGTTTGATATACTCAGTACACATTTCTTTCTCGTGCAATCTTGGAAAACATGAAACTAAAGTTTCCACAAGAAAATTAATAATTTAAACCACGTACAGAAGTTTCACATACCTGATTGAGCAAATTTTCCCGCAAAAACTTTCCAAGAGGATCATCAAAATTATTACGGTAGAACTTAATATGAGAAAAATGACTTTGCTCACAAACAGTTCCACTTGAAGCATTCCGCTTCGACATCAGAACCAAAATACTTTCAGAATCCAATACTGAGCTGATCTCATCCTTATTATTCATTTGGTCTTCAGCCTTATCACTATTGTCTAGTCTGTCCAAAGATTCTACAGAACAAACTGGTGGCAGATGTGGCTCCACATTACTGAGCAAATTATGTCCCTCAGATCTTAAGATCGGCATTGTATCGTTATGATCCATTACTTCCACAGAACTAGATTTTTTCACCTCATCTTCGACATGATCTTCATGATTCCTCCCGTCGTACCCAAGCTGACTAGACATACTTCGAGAAGAATCATAAAAAAGCGGAAAACTATCATCCATAACTTTTTTAAGAGACTCTGACAGAGATAATCCCGGAAATGTTGCTGGGCTATATGGCTCAAATGAGATTGAAGAATTGCTTTCTGATAGTGAAATTAGGTTGCGAGGTACTGTTTCATATAACCCATCAGAAATGGGAATGTCCAATGACAACGATGAATCAGTTTCAGCTTTATTCTCCTGGCAAAATACAGTTATCTTATCAGTATCAATTGATAGTAATTGCTGGTCAGTAAGTGCTAGGTACACCACCTTGTTCAGAGGAATAGTCGAGAACATTGCCCTCTGATCTAGAAGAAAAGAAGTCTCAAGCATTAAATGATATGCCATGACAACTGCACACCGGAAAACGCATTTAATCCTTTTCAGTTCATTGCCATTAGCCCCCATCAGCAAAATCTGTACAACATCAGTTGTGTACTTTTATTCCACCAGAACTCAAAGGTAAATTGCTATGTTAGAAAAATAAGAATTTTATAACTTGTATGTGAAACTCTGCAGTGCAGGTAGTCCAGCAAGCCATTATGCAGGTGACTAACCTATCTGATAAAAAGACAAACTTGCTCAAAAGGGAACAGGAGCATGTTTCGATAAGCTTAAATAGTTTACATATAAGTAAGTTTAGAATTAGCAATTTATTTTATCAATCAAAGTTCAAAATAAGAAAAAAGTAACATATTCGAATAAAAATTCACTTAAATGTAACTATTCCTTTTTATGCTTAGCAAGAAATATTCTTTAGCTATAAAATATGAACATGCCAAAACTATTCCTTTTTATGCTTAGCAAGAAATATTCTTTAGCTATACAATATGAACATGCCAACTTTTTTTCTTTTACATCAATATGCTTCCTAAAAGGAATCATCTTTCATGGCGTAACATCTACATAAAATTTTCTGCATTAAACAACAATACAGGCCAGTGAAGAAGACTCACGGTGCATCCAAGACGAGTGGCACAGCCCTCTAGGAACATCAATGTTTTACTCGGTTTTTTCCCACCTTCAGCTAAAACATTGTGTTCTTCTACAAACTTTTCAATCTGAAAGGAATCACACTGCCTAAGCTGTTGGCCACTAGCAAAATCTGATGACAAGATACGTGAACCAGTACATCGTGCAACTCTCTCCAGACGATGGAGCTTCATATCAAAGACTAATGTCATTCCTTTTGCAAGAATAGATTCTTGTATGCCACGAGAAACTGATTTCTCAACCAAAATCACATTTGGACGGTACATTTCTATCCTCTCAACGATAGATTTTAGAATATCCTTCTCCTGTTAATTAATATGTGATTAGAAAAAGAATTTGTATAATGTAGAAGAGACAAATGCTTCATGAATTCTTATGGAACCATAATATTTCCATTTACCTGTTGCATTGATTCAAATGATGATAATCCACTGGAAGAAAGATCGAGTGAACCATTAATTAACATCAATCTAGGGTTCTTGTACTTTGTTGGCATGTGTTTGTGGGCAGCATGCTTTTTGAAGACACACCCTTTAATTAATCGACTGCAGAAATTATAAAAAAAAAGAAAAGAAAAGAAAAAGGGATTATGATGTATAGATTCATGTGGTTACTAGATTCATAACAACCCATGTGACTACATTGAAGAAACGTGAGCTATAATTATTTATGACTTAGGAAGGAGAGAATTCAGAAAGATTCAACTAAAGATATGCTTTTCCAAAAATTTAAAAACTCAATGTATATGGTATGAAATTTCTACAAAAAGGAAAATATCCATTAACTACGGAAGAGAAATTAGACTGCAATTTTCTTATGTTCAGTAGAAAATCTATGGTAGCATAAGAAAAATCCTTGTGCCTGGGGCAACAAATGCACAAATTAAAGTTGGCAATATATCCATCTCATAGCCAATTGGCATGCAGTCAAAGGCCACTCAGGTCACATTTATTCCCTGTGGGATATGTTACCTAATAAAAGGTCATTGAATGTTTCAAAAACAATCCAAGGATCATTTGACACACTAATGTACTGGTGTCTTGTAAACCCTTTAAATAAAAGCATAATTTGATTTGATAAATAAAAGACCAAAAATTTATACAAAATAAGAAAAAGAAAGAAAGAAAACATTGGAGAAAACAATTGGTGCTTATCAATTATCACCTTTGGCTGCGGGAACCAGTTGCAATACATTTGATTTTGACGTATCCATCAGGATCCATTGCCTTACCCTCATTTGCACCAGGCTTCACAAAAGCAGCAGCCTCCCATGATAAAGAAGTCACTATATCCACCCAGTTTTCTCCATCATTTCCAGAAGAGGCAACGCCGACAGACTTAATTAGTTGACCAACAAGGGCCTTGAACTTCCCATTCATAACCTCGTCCATTGCTTTACGCTTTTCTTCTTTGAACTTGTAGCTCCCACTGCCTTCTTCTCCAAAACAGCTCAAAGAACTCGAATTGGCCCATCTCACACCGTCCTCCCCACATTCATCTTCATCATCATCGTAATTTTCCACCCTACCTATGTTGTCATCTTCTTGATCTTCTGGTTCTGGTGGAAGCCAAAATTGAGCATCCATTTCATCCGATATCCCAATTTCTTCATCAGTAGATGAACCAACTCTTTCCCCGTTATTTTCTTGTCCAGTCTGAATTCCACCGATTCCTACATTTTCTACACCAGTCCGATGGAAACCGTTCAATTTAACTGATGAGTTTGAATGATCCAGATGCCCTTTCGAACCAGAAACAGAATCTTCTTGAGTGCTGTCTGTGCTGCTATCTTCTACATAACCACTGATAGAGAACAGAAACAAAACATTGAAAATATCGAAATAAGTTGAATTTGTATGGATTCTTTCAGTATTCAACTAAAGTTATCTTCTCTGATAGTTCTCATAAAATAATGCATTTGAGAGGGTATGGAATTGCATACCGGCCAAAAAAGTTTGCATCAACTGAAAAGTCACCTGAAAAATAAGAGTACGAGTGAAGGAATGGCAAAAATAAAATGGCACGAAGAAGGAAAAAACATAAAGAGAAATTGTTTACTGCAATTTGAAATATAACTGTCACTGCTTATTAATGACGCAGTGGGGCTGATGGATGGCATCGCACGAGGACTGGAACTCTCTCGA